ATTTTTATACAAATAAAATACAAAGAATTGCCTAAGATACTTAGGAATTTTAGATTATAAAATAATACATTAAAATCAATATGCATGGGAATATTGTCCATTTTTGAGAGGAAAGTCTCTTAGTAGTATATGCTGCAAACATTCATTTTGGCGAATTGGTCCATGTACATATTACATTTTGATCATTTTTACTTCCTTTCTCCTTTCCCCTCTCCCCCTTTATCAGAGCTCCTTTCAATCTACATGAAGTCTAGCTCTCTGTTTTCTACCATCTTGCCTGTATTTTTCTCTGCATATAGCTTGTATTTTGTGTTTCTCATACAGGAAAACCATGAGTTATTTAACTTTCTGTATCTGATTTAGTTCTCCTAGATTTTTTTTTTTTTTTGTACCGGGGATTGAACTCGGGTCCTTGTGCTTGCGTGGCAGACACTGGAACCACTGGGCTAAATCCCTGGCCCCCTCTCCCAGATTTTTGATCTAAAAATACATCCATTTTTTCTACAAATGACTCAAATCTATCCTTCTTCATGGCTGAATAGTACTCCATTGTGTATATGTACCACACTCACTTTATCTATTTATCTATTGATGGCTTATAGGGCACTTTCATAATTTGGCTATTGTGAATTGTGCTGCTATAAACATGGGTATGCATGGATCACTGTAATATGATCACTTTAACTTGTTTGGAAGATACATAGGAGAAGTATATTTAGGTTAAATGTAATTTCTATTTTTCAGAGAATCTTATACTGATTTTCCACAGTGGTTGTACTAGTTTACATTCCTACCAATGATGTGAAAAGGTTCAGTTTTCCCTCACAATCTCACCAGCCTTTGTTGTTTTTTGAGTCCTTGATGAAAACCACTCTTAATGGAGTAGGAGGAAATCTCAGGATTGTTACAATTAGCATTACTCTAATGACCAGAGATGTTGAACATTTTTAATTAATTTAATTCACTGGCCATGTGTACCTCCTGTTTTGGGAAGTCTCTAGGCACTTTAACTGCCCATTTTTAAAAAATTGGGTTTTTCTTTGAAGGCGTCTAATTTTTTGATTGTTTGTTTTGTGAGGCGGGGTCTCCCTCTGTGGTTCAGGCTGTCTCTGAACTCACCATGTAGCCCGGCTGGCCTCCAACTCAGTGATCCTCCTGCCTCAGCCTTCTGAGTGCTGGGATTATAGGCTTGTGTCACCATGCCCGGATCATTGAGTTCTTTATATATTCTAGATACTAGTCCTCTATTTAAGAGGAAAGGAAAAAGAAAGGAAACAAAATATTTCAGAAAGAAGGAAAGGAGAAAGAAGAGACAACAGTAAATGAAAGAAAAGAAATAGGGCTTTAGTAATATTATTTTTATATGTGGAATGGAAGTAGGGTGGAAAGGAGTCAGGAATAAGGAACCTTACTCCTGGGGCAGGAACAAGGAAGAAGAGGGGGAGAAGTAAAGATGGAGATTGAGAAAAGCTATAAGAAAGTTGGAACCAGTTAATTGCTGATAGAAGTCTATGTTTGAATCTTTCATGCACTGTACTTGGTCAGGTTAAACCTGACGTCACCATGAAATATACTACTTAAACTAAAACAATAATTTTATCCTCCAACTCATACTTCACATATATATTCATGCACACACACATTTCACATATATATTCTAAATCTGGAAGAAAGGAGACATAAAGAAGTAAACAGATAAAAGAAAAAGCCTAAATAAATCAACAAATACATAGGTAAAAAATTTAAAATACATTTGCTGATAGAGTTTGTGGCATGCAAGGGTGAGGGAGGATTTGAGAGGATGTGAGAGGGAAAGTAACTAGGAAGGAAGGAGGATTTTAAATGGAGTGTGGTAGAGGGTGCAGTGGATTGTGCCGTTTATAACTAACCCAGAAAACTAATTTAGCTAATTCTCTCTTCAGGTTCAGATGTTTTTAGCCTTTCCTCCATGTCTGCCTAGAATTAACCATGTTCTTCCTGTCAAGCTTGCTTGGGCTGCACTCTCTATCTTTCTCTATATATTTCAAACACACACAAAGCTCCTCCACCTCCTAAAGATGCACCTGCCATTCTAACATGGGTTCTTTCCAGGTCCCTGTGCTGTGCACTATTCAGTTGAGATCACCGATGTTTGAATATTAATACCTTTAGAAAATATTTATATGAGCCATAAAATCTTTAAGGAATATTCATAGTAAAGTGAGACATTTCTGACATATCCAATCCCATAAAATTTCCTCCATTATATGACCACAGTGTTTCCTTCATTTTTCCACTAAAGAAACTAACACAGATGGAGAGAACTTTGTAAAATTATTGCAGATAGTCCACTTTTACACCTGCATTTTTGCCCTCACTGAACATGGCATTACAGATACATGGCAGAGTATATCATGCACAGTAATTCTCTGAATATTATTATGAAATAAATGATTAAATGTCTTCAAAAGTTAGATTCATAGTAGTGTAATAAGAGTAAGGGGGAAATGTTCTGTTTTCACACTGGCAAAAGGAAATCTGAAAGCCTGGGGTGTCAGTGCTGATGAGCAAAAAGGGACTGAAAGCTGAAAGACAGGATGCTACTCACAGAAAGGTGTTCTCCATCCACTAGCCTGGATTTAAAACCATGGGCATCCAAATAGTGGAGAACATGAAGACAGAGGAAAAGGAAGCAACAGAATTTGCCACGAACAGGATGTTGTGTGTGGCTGTGGTCTCCTGTAAGGTAAAGGTGATTGTGAGTGTGTTAGACTCATAGTTCATGTCTGTGCAGGAGCACCTAGGAGATGCTTGCTAAGAACTGTGAAACACAAAGTAATAATTTCAGGGGAGAATTGTAATCATACATACTATATAATCTCACAGAATCTCAAAGTATTTGGTCAAATATAAAGAGTTAAAACTATTTGCTATAATCCTGGAACGGTACCTCTAACTGTTTTTCAACTGCTATTTGATGAGCCACTCTCTATGATAGGAAGAATAGCCCTAGAGCAAGGAACTCCATCTTGTTTGGGCACCTGGTTAGCTGTCCAGGGGCCCCCACCATGTGCCAAGGCTGTGTCCAGGCTCTGGCACAACAGAGTCACCCACCACCACAGGTAGATGCAGCTTGCTGAGTCCAGTAGGGTTTCTGACAAGGTTGGGATGGGAGTGGAGTACATAACACTTTCCCCAAGGATCCTTCTTTCTTCAGATCCCGCTTTTCCTGCTTTAATTAGACTTAGAAAACCAGTGCCTTAAAAAAAGGATGTGGCAACTTTGCTAATGTTACAGTCCGCAAGTCATTCACTGCTTTGCGAGTAACCCTTAATAAAGTCCTTTAACGGCTAAGCTGAACTGGTCTGGGTCATTCAGGACTGCAGGAGTCTGCTCCATTCAGAGACAGATAGTACTTTTATGTTTCTCTGGAAAACTTATGCAACATCTGTCCAAGATAGGTGGCAATTTAAGGACACCTTAGAGGCATCTTTGCTTCCTTTAAAGATGGTTACAATAAAATTTGAGACCCATATAAGATTAAGACCTACATAAGCTAGAGGAAAAGGTTTAGGAGACTGTACTCAAGGAGCTACTTTACCCAGTGTAATTATCCAACATGAGCCATGAGAAGATGATCTCTAGAATTATTCAAAGAGGTCAATATAAAATATCAATACATAGTCCCTGAATTTGAAAAGCAAAATTGGAAAAAGTCTGGCTGCACCCTTCATTCAGATAACCTCTGGGCTATCAAGAGGGCTTCATGGCTGCTCCTGGCAATTTCAAGAAAATATAACCCTGAGTTCTCTGAGAAGATACTGGAATACACAACTTGTTTGATGTCTCCAGTCAACACATGTAAAAATATATCCGATGCCGATCCCCTTTCTAGATCAAGTGTTGCGTGTCCACAACCTAATTCTAGAAAAATGGAAAAGGTGAGATGCTGCTGGGAAACAAAGCTTCAAGTTTGCTTTGGACACTTGCAGATGGATTTTACCCAGTGTCCATCCTCACTGTGCAATTCAGGGTCCTCAGCACACACAGAACACCCAGGGAGAACCCACAACCCTGAGCTTGTCACTGAAAGCCAAAAGAACCAGGAAGTGCCCTCCATTCCACTCTGCTCCTGGAAATCTAATTGTTACCCTATGTGCTCTCAGATGCCAGCTATTAGGATGGCCGATATCAGGCACCTCCTGGAGCTGTGGGCAAATACCTTCAAGGAGAAATGAAAACAGAATTTCATCCCTTTCTCTTCACCGATCCTGAGGGTGACGCATAAGTGTGCTTGCAGGCCTCATTAACACCACCTCTTTGTTTACCGACCTGTAGAGGTTCTTGAAAGCCCAATCCCATGCTAAGCAGAGCTAGGCAAATTACGAGCCAAATACTCAGGGGATATAAGATCAGCACTCTATGAGTGGTTCCAATACTCTTCCCAGGAAAAACCTGAGGGTTAAGAACTTCTTTTCATAGTCTGGTCCAGTGCTAAGGGTAGGGTTTGCACCTCATTTCTCCCTAACCATTTTGTTGTTGTTTTTGAGACAGGGTCTGTGTATTTATCCCAGGCTGGCCTCAAACTCCTGGCAATCCTCCTGCCTCAGCCTCTTGCATCAGCCTCCTGAGTGCTGGTATTACAGGTGTGCACCACCATACCAGGCTTTTCTTTGATGTAGACATTTTTTCTCAGTCAGGAGGATAAAGTCAAATACTATACTGAAGAAACTAGTGCCAGTAGAAATTCAAATACATAGCACAGCCAAGGTTATGCCGGCTTGTGACCCCCTGTAATGTAAAACTGCCTTCTTGCCCAATCTCTATGTACTCCTAACAGATATTATTTCTTTTCTTACTAGCAAAATACAACTATCAGACAGCAAATTATGAATGTATTGGAGTAGTTGTTTGTACAATGACCAACATTTCTATAGATCACCAAACTTAAAAATTACAATTGCGACTGGAGCTTCAAAGTCAGGCCACTTTTAATTCTTCAGGCACACTGCTCAGAAGACTTACTGGACCATGCTCATGCACAAATTTAATAATATATCAATCCATCCAAATTATAAAAATACCAAGATTGTAACAAACCTAGCACTAATTTTTTCAGAAGTTAACAACATCACCTCTGCTCTAGATGAATACAGGTAAGTTTAACTCACTCTCACAAGTAGCGAAGGACAAACATATTTCTCCAGAGGGATTGTTGTATAGTCAAATTCATTTCTATGTAATTGCTGATACTTCATACTGTTCTTGGATCTATGAAACTAGCAAGTTGGACACAATACGTGTCACCTTTGAACAAACAGTATTTGTCTAGCTAAGGTTGACCCTCATGGCCTATAGGATTTACTCTGTTTCCAGGATTGGCGAACTAGTTGAGAACAGACATTTTTCTGTTTGTCACAGTGGTCATAATGCACGTTAGTCAAATCCTACCCATGGGATTGGCTTCTTAAATGCTTCTACAAAGTTCCTCTTCTAGTACCTCATCTGGCTGATCCTTACATGGTCTCCATGGTGTTACAAGAAAAAGCCAGAAGGCTCTTGCAATACAGTTGACAAAGAAGATGCCTGGACAGTCTTTGAGCAGTGAAGGTCTGAATACTGATAGTAGATTTCTCTGAATTTTTTTATCACTGAGAAGCCAAAAAATGACCAAAACTGGGGACTGAGAGGTGGAATATATAAACAGAAAATAGACAAACCATATGTAATAAAAAACTCACCAAAATCTGTGTACTCTAGGCCAGAAAATCTATGTACCATCTATAATAAGAAGACCAGTTAAGCCAGATATCTGTAAGTCAGGCTCTTAGCATGTCAGACCACTGTGCCTTGCAACAAAGTAGAAAGGGATACAATAACCTCTAACAATTGACCCCAAACATCCAGGACATGACTGGCAGTGAAGAGTTTCCTAATTGTCATCCAGATTTCTAATTTAGCACCAATGACTAATACATGCCCCTAACCAATAACTTGAAGGTGCTCTGATTCTCACTGGGCACCTACAGCTCTCAGTGAAGGCATCACTGATGCCTTCCTCCATTTCACTGTGACTTAGCACAGCTCTGCTGGTCTGATTGTCAGTAGGACACTTGCTTAGCTTTGTTCTAGAGTCCAGGGCTCATATGAGGGAAAGATCCATATGTTCAGCATGCACCAGGATGACTGTATTTCAGTCAATAACTACTCCCAGGATCCCAATTGTGAGGTGCTAGGTAATTAGCAACTACTTTTCTCCCTGAAATCTTCTAAAGCAGGAGGATGGAAATAGGGCCTAAAAGTAGTCTCAAGTATATAATAGGAAGAAATCAAACTGTTCTAATACATATATTCTGCTGGAAACTTTTATTTCATTATTCAAAGTTTTTAGAAATACCTGTACAAATGTTTTATTTGTGCAAATGAATTTAAGACCAGTGAATTACAAACCACAAAAGGAGGAAGAGTATGGGGAAGAAATAAATAAGAATTCAGTCTTTAAAAGTGATTATATAAAGAAGCTGCTGTGTTTGCACAGGATGAGGCGGACAGATCCATTCTGTACCTGAGAGGAAATGATGCCTCTTTTGTTTGGTCTTTTCACAGTATTATCTCTAAATTTAGGATCCAAGTCACTTTCCTCTACCCCCTCATCCCTCCAGTCTCTAATGTCCTGTGTCTTGCCAAGAAAGTAAAATTGACTGTCCTGTGTGCTCTGTGATAACATGATGCCAAGGCCCCAGTGGAATTTCATGTCTGCCCTGTGACTTGGAAGACACATTGAGCCCTGACGTATAGGTGTGTTATTTCTTGGTCCTTTTTCCCAGAGCTACTGTGATTTTCAACTCAACCCTCGATCCATGACAGTATCTATCTACACAAGGGATGGAGAGTAACTTTTAAATAGATTTGCCACAATTACATGCCAGTAAAAACTATTAATTACAATTGCATGAATAATTCCAAAGAAACAATTGGGAAGAATTGGGATGAGAAAACTTAACCCTAAGTTTTCTATGAGCCCTTGGAGAGCACGGGATAACACAGGGTGGGGTGCAAAAGGCACAGAAGTTCCATGCTAAGAAAGACAAAGAGAAAGCATTTGGGGCAGACAGAATTTGGGCCAGCCTCAGCAACTTTCCTTAACAGTTAATGTCTTGAGAGATTCCACAAGTCTGAAAAACATGAGTATTAAGTGACATGAATGAGGGAGGTGCCCTGGTTCTTGGGTATCTCTCTTCTTTTAAGCTTCATTTTCTAAAATATTAATTTATATTTTGTGTGTTGCTATACTTCATTCATTTCCAGGTACTACATAATTCCATTGACTGCTCATAAAGCAATCTTCATAAATCGTTAATGGATGGTCTCCTATTTGGCTAGAATGAAGGAAGCTGCCCTGACCTTTCTTGTAAATGGATCCTTGAACTCATATGCATGCATTTGAGGTTATAACTATAAAAACAGAATTGCTTTGTGTTGAGATACGTTTTACCCAAGAAAAACCAACTTTCTAAAATGATTACTCAATTTATACTTTCAGCAGCAATGTGTGTGGGCTGCCTTTGATCTATATCCTCATTAACGCTTAATAATCTCAGAATTGGTAATTATTCCTGGATTGGGTTGTGTAAATTCATCTCATTCTCTTAATTTGCATTTTCAACAGTGATGGAATAGGATAACTTCCTTTTGATTTTGTTCATCCAAAATATTTACTTTGTCCCTAATCTATATATTGAGAGATGGGAGAAAAAAAACAGGATAAAGATGGAATAAACATAGGAGAATCCAGGCTTAAGAAGGGCTGATATCGAGGAGAACCTCTGGTAGCTCATGGAATAGTGTGAAGTAGGGTGGGCACAGTCTACTCTGCCCCTAACAGGAAATGGCGCCCACTTGGTATCAAAGGCTTTCCAGGGTCTCACTTCCAAACATAGCAATGGTGTCCCTTCTCCTCAGCTAGGTCTCCAGTCTCTGATCGACTGTATCGTGGTGTGAGAGGAATAGAAGCTCACCTCTGTGCTCTGCGATGCCAGATGGTGAGCGGCACAGAGAGGTTGAGTGTGGGAAGAGACGCTGGACCCGGACTCGTAGGCTCATTATTCCTTGGTCCTCGTACCCAATGCACCTGTAATTTTCAACTCTAGATGCCTGAGAGAATCCACATGCGGGATTGAGAATAACTTTCAAACAACGTTGCTTCTTTGCCTGCCTACGAAAACAACTACAATTACATAAGCACATCCAAAGAAACAATTGGGAGAACTTTCCTATGAGCCCCTGGAGTGCATGAAATATCACGGGGAGGGCACAGGCTGCACAGGGGTCAAACGCTAAGTAAGTGAAGTCAGTTGCATGGATGTGTGTGGATGTGGGCCAGCCCAAGGCCCCTTCCTAGCCCCTAACATCCTGGGAAATATCACACTCTGAAGAACACCAGCACTCAGGCACAGTGACTGAAATGAGATAGCGATTTCGTGCCTCCACTTTTTTTTTTTTACATTTTCCCAAAGGTTCATTCCTGCACCGTGCATAGCCCTATTTCATTCATGTACACACAGTAGAGAACTCCACTGAATTTATCCAGCAATATGTATGAACAGGCGATGTGTGACTTCCTGAATATAGCTGTGCCCAGTGAACCTGCTCTGTCCTCTGCTGTCACGGACTCTGGTGCACACAGGTTTTGTATTGGAAGTGCTGGCATAAGGCATGTCTTTCCCAAGATAGTAGCAAGGTGTTATAGAAATGATCACTATTTATACTTTAAAATCTAAAGATCTCCACTGCTTTGTATTAACTCTTGGTAATGTCAACATTTTTACTTAGTGGAAAATTTGTGTTGGACAAATGTATCTCATTCTCTTTTAATGTGCATGCTCCAGGAGAATCATGAAGAATCATGATTTTTTGTCCATCTAAAATATTTGTTTTTGTTGAATGACCTATGGAATGTTTTCCTGTTAGCCTCTGCTGTGTGCCTTAATGATTTGTAGAATGTGTGCGAAGTTTTCAGGTGACAATATTTTTCACTGAAATATTGAATAAAAGCTTCCCTGTAAGCTGTGGCAATGTTTCCATAGGAATAAAAGTGGCAATTATTGTTTTCAGTTTGAAAAATTTTGCATTTTTGAAGTGCCATACTTTGACAGAATTTCAAGCATATAAAAAAATTGCAAAAGAGTACAAATTGTTCCCATGCACTTGAATCTATACTCCACAAATATTTATAGAAAATTTTGTGCATTATTTAAGTCATATATGTCATGCTTAAGACTTTAGTGCACATTTCATAAGATGAATAGAATTATATCACTTTAGCTCAGTGCTCAAAACCAGGACATAACACCCACGCAACAATATTATCTCAGCTCTACCCATCAATACACCATTGACATTCTGCCCATAATCCCTAGAATGCTGTTCACAGAATAAAAAAGAATGCAGTCCAAGATCTAAACCAAGATCGCATACTGCATTTATCTGTAATGTGCCTTTGCACAGCTAATCATCCACATCACATTGGATGGCAAAATAAGAAAATAAGACATTACTGACCATAGTAAAGCTAAAGCAAAGATCAAAAATGCTAGATGAGTTCCAGTTGAAGGCCAAAGTGGTCATTTGTATAATATGGAAAGAGCTCTGAAGAACAGTTCAATAAAAGGCATGAAGACAAATCAGAAATGGTAAACTTAATGGAAACAAAAAGATAATGAAAAGTAACCAGTTTTATGAAATATTCAAATGGAAATAGAACTCTTTAGGAGATGCCTGACTTTCAAAATATAAAATTGTTGTGGTATATTTTCTTTCTTTTTAAATTTTAATTTTTTTTAGTGTATGGTTGCAGTTCACCATGAGGACATTCTTCATAAGGAGTTGGTACATGTCTATAACACATCTTAATTCTCTCTTCATCCCCTTTCTTCCCATTCCTCCCTCTCCCCTTCCTCCATCCCTAGGCCCCATTTCTTTTGCAAAAGATCTATTTCCTATTTCCTGTTACCTATCATGTATTTTACTCTTTATTTATATTTGAGTGACACCAGGCAATAAGCTTCTAGCCTAAATGGAATAAAAGGGGGGAAGAAGAAGAACGTCTCACTTCAGCTTCTTTGGAGGAGCACTAGTCTTTGCCATCACCTTGGGATGTCTGTCTCTCAGCTTCCAGCTCAGACTTCAGCATTCCAGCATAGACCCTTTGGCTGCCAGTGGAGCTCTGCAGTGAGCTCCATTCCAGGTCTTCCATCGTCGAATGGATTATGCTGCTCTCCAGCGTGCAGGCAGCCCTTTTGCACTCCTCTACACCTGACTCTACAGGTGACCATTGTGAGCTTACATTAGAAAATAAAAATATAAATGTTCTGTTACTCTAGTGAGCCCTGAATGATCCATCATGAAACCTGAGATACTTTGTTATGGCTACCTGAATGGAGTGAGAAACTAGTTTTTCAATATTTTTATCATACATGTCAGAATGGAATTGCTGGGTCTTATGGAAATTCCCATACCTGTATTTTTGCTGTGTCCATGTGTGGTGGAAAGACTGAGGGATCTCTCTGGTGTCTCTTACAAGGGCATCATCCCGACTCTGTCCATTGTCAACAGTGCAGGAGTCCAACATGGTGTTCTTACCTATGGTAGTACTGTTAAATGATTGCCATATTCAAGCTGTTGTATTCACCTAATATATTCATCTCTTTACATAGTTATCTTTTTACCTGGAGAAAACAATAAAAGTCCAGCCTCAGTAAATGTCAAATATACATAACAATACTATTAACTGTGTACATAGTGGGCTTATTTTATGTAGCACAATGACCAGGGGTTCATGGATATTGCCAATGACAAATTCCCTTGACTTGTAGGACTGAATAACATTCCGTTATAAAAATACATCCTATTTTCTTTATGCATTGTTCAAAAACAACCACTTAGGTTGTGTTCCTATCTCACCATCTCTGAGTAGATGAAGGTGGATGGCAGAAGGGAAAGCAGGTGAGGCTCCCAACAAGCAGGTGTTAGACTTAAGCATGAAGCATGGTTTCCACAAACCATCTCACAGACTGCTCCAAGAGGCCTGACGCACCTGTGGCCCCCTCCAACCGCCGGCATGGACGTGTCCCTGGCCCTTGGCCTAGGCGTCCTTCTGGGGCTGGTGCCCTGGCCATGTCTCCACACACAGCCGAGCCTTTGTGGATTGCACGTGAGAGCCCAATGCCTCCTTGGAAAGAGGTGACAGAAAGCCGGGTAAAGGAGATTCCTGAAGGGAGCACAGAGAGGGCACTGAGCTGGCTGTTTATTCTCTCCTCCAGCAGATACACATGGACACTTCCTGGGTGGCCGGCTGTGTCACAGGGATCTGGACAAATCAGGAAATAGAAAGTACGCGAAAAGAGTGCTGCCTGACTGGAAATGTACTCTACTCAAGAAACCGGGATAGATAACATGAAATTATATATATGCAATTATTTATATATAAATTATAAAGTGTGCTAGCTTGTGGTAGGCACAACAGAAGGGAGAAAATGAGAAGCGGCAAGATAGTGTAAACGTTCCGCAACGGGGTAAGAAAATCCTACGTTAGTTAGCAACACAGTAAACAATCGCAGGAGGTAAGGGACTGAGATGTATTTCTTGTAATACATTCTAACCAGAAAAAAACTTGGTGGACAAGGGGATAACTCAGAGACCTGACCCAGCATAAACACGGGCTTGGGTTTGGTGCCTAGTACTGCACATATGAAAGGAAGGAAAAATGGAAGGAAAAAAGGAAGGCACACAAGAAGGAAGAAAGAGAGAAAGAAAAAAGAAAGGAAAGAAAGAAAACAAAGTTCTAAAAGGAAGTAAAAAAGACAGAAAAAAGACATTTAGATGACTTTAGTAACCTTGATGTCCGGCTACCGATGTTTCTCCAACTTCTGGCCACTTCCTGTAACCTCTTTAAATTCAGGGCTCTGGGGACAGACCAGATGTTCATGCATCTGCTGTCCTCAGGGTGTTTTGTGAGGTCTGTGGTGTCCATGCATAAGAGCCCGTGAATCCCCAGCTCCTTGATCTGGGCCCTCAAACAACAGTCTTCCTTTCCTCAAATTTTAGTTCTTGTAGTTGATGATTTCCATAGCAACAACAGTGATTCCAGGAGACCTTTAGAAGCACAAATTCTCAGTCCAGAACCAGAACTATAGAATTAGGTAGTCTGGGGTTCAGACAGAAAGACCTATGTTATTAATAGATTCCAGGTGATTTTGATGCCAAGACAAAGAGTATTCCACCCCTCTGCTGTGACTCTGGTTAGACCAGTTGCCTGGGATTCTTGTGATTAACACAAATCCTGTATAAAATTCTGGTGTGTGTGTGTGTGTGTGTGTGTGTGTGTGTGTGCAGGCACGCTTATAAGTATGCTAAAATATATTTCTGTACAATATGTTTTTCTATAAATACAAGTAAATCCCTGGATTGTACACAGATAGGAATTTTGTCTTTACGCTAGAATATTAATCGGACAGACTGAAGTTCCCTTTCCCTGCATATCTGATTCTTCTTGTCAGCTCCAGGTAATCCCAGAGCTGCCCTCTCCCCTCCCCATCCTCCTCATCCTCCTCCCCTTTCTCTTTTTCCTTCTCCTTCTCCAAAGACTGCACAGCACTTAGCTTCCAGTATTCACCAAGAAATCTATCAGGGCTGTGGAATTCCAGCTCAGGACATGGATATTCCTTCCAACCACGAAGGGCCTTATCCAAGGCCATAGAAAACTCACCTGAAGTCCACTGGTCCTCAGGCCACTTTCTGGCCCAAATCAAAGCCCACAAAGCATCTTGACAGAGTTAGTGCTGTTCGAATGTTGCTCTAGACCCAGATCCATTCCATCTTCATGAGGAGATTCCTGTATATTAGCTCCCGAAGGAATCCATCACTAGATATCCTGGACACCAGCCCAACAATGATTGAGTACCTGAGCTCCAAGCCACTGCTGGCCTGGGGACATTGTGCCTGCTCTTCCTCCTCCATGGAACACTTTACTCATGACCCTGGATGGGAGGTTTAGGGTTGGGTTAGAACTGGAAAAATTGTTTCCAAAATCTTTGTGTCTTGAATAAAGCACTGAGTAGGACACTGAAAAAAGAGTAACAAGTGATATTTATTAAAAGCAAAAGAAGCAAAGACAACTCCACATGGAGAGAACAGGCCAGTGAGAAGAGCCCAGGGCCCTAACAGGGCCAGGTACGAGGTCTCTTAAGGTCCTGGGATTGTATGAGGATCGAGAGCTGGGGACTGACTGGACTCATGGCCCAACTGGCTCCTGACTTGGCCCAGCTATGAGGAGGGGGTTTGTAAACACAGGAGGCTTTAGAGGAAGGGTCACAGCATCCAAAGCTCACTGGAAGCAGAGTCAAACTGCAATGCAAATGTGGCTGGGATGGAACTGGGCATGTAATTCTGGTTCTGCCTCTGCCTGGGGTTTTGAAGGCACAGGGTGACTCTATCTAGTGGTGTTTGGATGATTGGCCATAGTCCTTCTCCTCATTGTGCCTGTCCTTTCATCCTTCCACATGGCACCCTGCTGCTTTTGTCATGTGCTGGCTCTACCTCCTCCCTCACTCATGTACCCAAACCACTCCCTCTCTCCTCGAACGGTATTGCGGATGTCACCTCCAGCACCCTCCCACTCCACGATCACCCTCACTCCTTGATGCTCTTCTTTTCCATTTCTGCAACAACTGTGAACCCAGAATTTGCCATATAATGTGTATATTCCCCATTCCATATTGGGGAATCCCATCCCTATCCCTGCAACAGCAAGGAAGGTGACACAGAGACACATCCAGAGGAGTCTGGGCGCCACCAGAAGCTTCAGGAAATGTTTGCAGAAGCAGTGAGAGGTGACCCCAAGCCTTCCCTTCCACCTATCAAGGTTTCCCTGCTCCACTTCCGATCACTTCAGAGTGATCCTCTTCTCCATGTTTATGTTTTTCCTGAATGAAAAGATGTCACACTTTCTATTCAAAACAGTTTCGTGCCAGCCAAGTGTCTGTCACATCCATGAGCTCTGTTGAATTCTCAGGTGTCTTACAGTTCAGCACTCTCTGCTTAGCACCACTGAGACTCATCTGCTGACAGGATTGGCAGAAACTCTACTCTAACTTTTGATCTCATTCCAATACTTCATTAAAATTTAACTCTCCATAATTTGCTTACTTCACTGCTGTTTTCCAACGGTAATCTCCAGTCCCCACACAGACACTGTCACTGAGCCTTCAAGATAAAGGATAGTCACTTTCCAGAAGCAGATGAGCTCATGGAATCTGAATGCTTCATCTCAGGCTTTAAAGGCCTTCTTTCCACACCTGCAGGGTGCTTCCACAGCAGCCACCATCCTGGAAGCCAGTGCCGATTTGGTAAGTAACTGCTATTCCCTGATGAGTGAGATATTTTTCCCAGAATAGACCATTTCTGATAACAGTCAATGAGCAATTTTATATGAAGAAACAATTCTGCTATCTGGGGTTGGAGCACATATATTGACAAGGAGAGGCTCCCAAGGCATGGTGACCCTTCATCTTCCTGCTTCAGCACTGCCTGGAATCTCTGCTTGAAGTTTCTTTTTGTCTAGATGGCTCCTCTCTCTCACTGCTGGTGAAACCTCACAATATCTACTCTGAGAGCTTCAGTCCATGGGTTTTATTAATGGACTTTGAGTGGGCAGATACTGTTGTCATAGCAATGTTGGACAAATGATTTTGATGTTATGTGAGTGTGATGTGCAAATGGAATTTGTAGCAGATTTTATTAACCTGTATGAAGAGCATAGAATTTGAACTTATTGTACCATTTAGTGAAAGAAAAGTAAAACTCAAGGAATATGTGAGTGCAAATTACAAAAGTATACAATGAGAGAGTATCAAAACTTCTTGCAAAACATAATTTTATGTACACAGTATTGCTGTTATCAGAAATATTTTGCTCTCTTCTCTTTGGAAAGATCACAGATAATTATGAATCAGTATAGCTTTGTAGGTGTCATCTAGAAGATATGACTTGTTCTAACAAACCATGTTATGACTACACACCATCTGATGGATGCATTTTTATCTCTTTTGTGGAGACTGAAATTTTCCTATTTACATTCTGATTATGCTCCCAGAAAACTTTTGTAGTCTAGGGACATTTAAGAATATTTATTTTTTTCTTGGAAAATCCAGTTTGTAAAGGAGCGTGTTTAGGAATGACAGTAATTTTAACAATTTGGAGGTCTTCTTTCAAAGAAATAGTACTTTATTAAAACTTATGCAAAATCAATTGCCTCTTGAATATGACATAAATGTATTTCAAAAATTTAAGTAAAATATTTTGTATCTTTACAATTCAAAGTTTTCTCGCTGTGCTTCATGGAGTGTTCTCTGAAAAGTAGCCAGTTTTGAAATTGGTTTAATGTTTTTTGAGTTATCTCAGTATGATTTGTACGAATACTAAAATATTGTGAGTAATTCCTTTGACATCATTTTAGAATCATTTCTTAGTTTTCATCTCCACTGTATTGTGCAACTATTTAATTTGCAAAGATCCATGAAAAGTATATTTTTACTTTAAACTCAGACCTTAATTTTTAATGACTTACTCCAATTTACTTAAAAAGAAAATAAACTTTTTTACATAGGTATATTTTGTTCTCATCTGCAGACTGTATTAACTTTTTTGTCAATTAGACATAGGAATAAATTGTTTTTATTTGAAATCCATAGAATATTTAATGCCTTATCTATTTTCTTCCCAATCAGCTGAAGTTTAATGAATATATTTGCTTATAAATTTATTCCATATGAACACATCAAGAGGTGTTTCTAGGATCCCTTCTATGTGTCATTAACTCTATTATTATCATCTGCACTGAATTAACCATTGGATACATATGTAAGTTCTTCTTAGTAAAATTATTATTATTCTTTCCTATTTCTTAATATTTGTAATTTATATTTAAGGATGTGGATTATATATAGTTATTTATGAGTTATTTTTATATTTTCCAATAAATTATAGATTATATTTCATTGTTTGAGTTTTCCCAAAATATATTTTAATATTTCAGTAAAACAGTTCCTGTAAATTTTAAAATGGGAGCAAACTACTTACAATACTATTGATTTTTATTTGACTGCAGTTATGTATATTCATATATTTTAATTTATTATAAGATTTCATAACATTCTTATATGATTCTCAGCTCTACAGTCGTCAACTTTCAATACAAATTTGTAGTTGTTAATTAAAATAAAATTCATGTATATTTCTAGTCTCATATTGAATGGGAGACACAATCTCACTCAAAATTCATTTCAATATCTCTAAATACAAGGTCTCTTTCATTATGACAGCATTTTTTCTATCAAAAATATCAGTACCTCAAATAAGAATTTCATGTTGCCACTTTATGAAGACTGAATTTTTCAGAATCAGTGTTTTGATCAGGAATAAGCACTGTGCTCCTTTTCAATAAAATGTCACACATCTCAATTCACTTGTATTTCTAAAGCTTCTACTAGCATCTCATGTCAGTTGTGTTTGTCATTTCTCTGGTGGTATGACTGGGTCATTTGTCGGGTTTACTTCCCCACGTTCTCCCACATCATTGCTTCTCCTTGATGCCTTGTAACATGCTCTCCCACACTTCCCACCCATGTCCAATACGAGCCAGAGGCACTGGATCAAATCCAGGTTCACTCTTGGGCTCTGTGCTCCAGGTGCCAGACTGTGACTTCCAGCTGCATCCAGTCCAGATGCTCTGAGCTCTGGCTTTC